TATATACAAAATAAACAACTTTGTTTGACAGTGGTATACACAAAAATTAAGTACCTAGTTTGACAGTGGTATATATCCAATAAAGTACTTTGTTTGACAGTGGTATATACAAAATAAAATACTCTGTTTGACAGTGGTATATACAAAATAAAGTACTTTGTTTGACAGTGGTATACACACAATTAAGTACGTTGTTTGACAGTGGTATATAAAAAATAATATATAGTGAAAAATAAGAACAATTCGAATCGTTAATATAAATGCATATAAACATATTGTCATAGTATCCATGCTGGTCATTATCGGCGCTTACTATTTTAAAAACAAAATCAACAGAAACAAAATATTCGTTTTTAGTTTAAAACGTTACCTACAAATGTATATTTTCTCTCACAAATATACGTGATTGTATTATGAGCATAACTGACTTTGTATTTTACAGGTAAAATCCTGGATTACGTTTAACGAGGCGTTCGTCGTTTCCTGGTTGGGATACGGTATCGGAGTATTTGCCCCGGGCGTTTACAGCCCTGGTAACGCTGTGTACAAGGTGGCTCACAATATCATCCGGTCACATGTCCTGGCTTATCACACTTACGACGATCACTTCCGGTCTAGGTATAATGGTAAGTTCAGCCGTACTTATTCTTCTTTAGAGTACAGGGGTTCCATCAATGCACTGATGATTATGTCCTTGGAAACCTGTGCACAGAGGCGTGAAAAAAGCAGCGGTGGTCAACCGGTGATTATGCTATTGTATTACATGTGTGTGCTTTCATAAATGAAAGTTTATGTTGTTCCAACAATAATTACGCGAATTCAAACAGTTTGCAAAAAAAAGTCTTTTCAAACCCCGATGAAAAAAACCCAACCTTAATGCTTAAATGAGGAGCAACACATTGGTACTAATAAAATGTCGTTTTGTGTGACTTTTTTCCTCATTAAATTTCTGCATGTAAAAATGGCTAAAGCTGTGATGATAGTTATGACGTCAGTTTTTTGTGTACTCATTGGCTAACAAATATGTCGGTTCTCGTTCGTACACATATTTTAGGAATTGGTGCATACTTAATGTTTGATTGTTTGCATTCTTTCAGTTTATTTGAAATGCTATCTTTTAGATTTCGCGTAAGTCCTTTACACATATCAATCACATTACATCTACAAACAGTCCACAGTAAACTGGTACAGCACATTATACAATGAAACCTTCATAACTGACTGTGGACGCGACAGCTCTGTCTAGAGACGAACCACTATATCCCCCTAAAACCCTGACACGACAAATGACTTAATAGTAAATGAGCAGAATGTTTATTTCAACGTTACATGTAATAGTGTGCTTTAAGTTCTGCAATCGGACTACCGCATGGGACACCCTACTGAGACGGCCCTCATACGTGTACATGATGACATAGCTTCTGCATTGGATAACACGTACAAGGCGGTGCTTGTCATGCTGGACTTGTCAGCAGCATTTGACGTCATCGACCATGGCATATTTTACAACCGTCTGGGGTACTCTTATGGAGTGACTGAAACTACACTATGCTCGATACAGTATTATCTGAGTGAACGACGACAGTGTGTTGCCATCGGATCTACCACCTCACATGACAAAATACTAGATTTCGGGGATCCTCAAGGGTCGGTGTTAGAACCACGAAAATATTGCCTATATTCCAAACCGATCGGGGATATTTGTCGTCGCCATGGTACATATGGTTATCTAACCACAGGGGAGTTGGGATACAATATGAGAAAATCTGGAAGCTTGTCTGACAGACATCAGTACCTGGATGAACGCCAACATGCTAGAGATTAATCAGGAAAAGACGGAACCAATGGTGTTTTCCCCAAAAGGTCAGCAAACAATGGCTCCCCAACTCAAGGTCGGTGCCAGAACTATTTGTGCCAGTAATTTTTATACTCTTACAAGTATACTGCTCTGTGCATCCCTGACACTTTGGCGCTGGATATCCGCACTCATAGTAGTGTCTTCTTGTTGGGCTCCGGGGTCTGGCGGGGACACAGATAGCGAATCTAATTAAAAAACACACATGGGTAAAAATCATTAAACAACCGACAAAACAAGAACGATGACTCAAACATGACAACATCAACATAAAAAGCACGCATTTTACGCAGTTCTTGTAATGTCCTCCACACAGAGTGGCAAAGGAATGACCTCGTTGTCGCCTCTGCTGATAACGAAAGGCATCAAGGGAATTGCTGGAGATGTGAAATTTGTTAAGCTTCTGGGATTGGCGATCTCCTTGTAGAGGTTTATCGGTCTCCGAGGTGAGGTGGATGTTGACCAGAAAGAACAATGACACCGTACGAACAAACACCTTCATAAACACATTCTCAACACCAACACTATCCAAAACATTAACAATCGGAAACCAGAGGTAAAATGTTTCCGTCAACATCCCAAATCCATTGCGATGACGATACTGTCAGAAGTACGGTCATCACAAAAACGATGTAGACGGAAAACAGTGTACCAGTATTGAGGCCGTGATGGTCACACAGTACGAAGTGACTGTGACATCGCCAACTTGCGCTGTGTCAACTGTGAGGGAAAGCACGCTGCCTCTTCTCGACCTACCTGGAACCGGGGGAGAGATATATTGCGGGTTAAATACACCCGAAGTGTCTCCTTCCCCGAGGCCAGGAGGAAAGTCGAGAGTGCAGACATTGCTGCACCCACTTACGCGCAGGTGACTTGAGTCAAGGCGCTGGTTGGCAATGTCACGGTCAAAGATATGTCAGTACAAGCTTCTGAAGACAGACCTGCCTGGGGCTCACAAGTCTCAGACATGGCTGACAAACAGACCTGCAAAATCATCGTAGGAGACCCATCACGGTTCAAACAAAAGGCATAAAAAACACATCCCTCCTAAACAAAAAGCCACAAAACAATTACCCACAACCGCGAACGACATCGTCGCCAAAACTAAAACAACCTCAAAAAGCACCTACCTCACAAGTACAACGATGTCGTTAGCTATCTGTTCATAGCACGAGGTCAGAAAAAACATCGCTTGCAGAAAAACCACCACCGAAAAAATTCAAGATATCCCGAAAGCCTGCCGTGCCCGATCTAAATTTCATTTATGGCAAAGGATCGGATGACCCGACCAACAGATTTAATGTTCTGCTTGATTTTAATGATGAGTTAGAGACGAATGCTTCAACGTTTCACGCTTCAACTCCATCAAGATCAAGCAAACATAAATAAATAACAAAATAGTTACATCGAACATCCGTGGATTGAAGGCAAATATAGAAGAATTTCAACATTTATCTAAAGAACTAGACCCAGCAATATTCTGATTACAAGAAATAATGCACAAAGACCCAATTAACTTAAAACACTTCTCACTCTACTGTAATATCGCAACGGGTGGCGGCAGGGCATCGGGTGGTGCGGCTGTGGCTATCAATAAAAATATTCCTCATAGACGTATCAAGTTGAACACATCTTAACAAGCTGTTGCAGTTTGCGTAACTTTACACAGACAACTAATTATCTTCGTCCTAGAGATGGCTTTAACTATGACCAACTTAATAATATCGTGTCCCAACTTCTAACACCTTTCGTAATACTGGGTGATGTAAATGGCCACACTAGACTGTGGGCTCCCCAAACACAGACGAAATAGGAAGACGTATTGAAAAGTTAAATAAACACTTTATGTTTGTTTAACATTAACGTCCCTACATACCTACACCCTGCCTCTAGCTCGCTTACCCACATCGACCTATCCTTGTGCCACCCTTCAATTCTACTTGATTATGACTTGAAGGTCAACAATGATCGATGTGGAAGTGATCACTTTCCCATCTTTCTTAAATACATAGGGTCCTCAATTGAGGAAATTCTACCTCGATGGAATATACACAAAGCAGATTGGATGCAATTTCAACACCGATGAGATTACTGAGGAACAGTTCATGAGCATTGACGACCCAATTAAAACCTTTACTGAAACACTAACTTCTATTGCCCAAAAGACAACACCAAAATCTGCTTCAAAACCTACAAAGTTCCTTTCATCAGAAGAATCTTTTAAAACACGCAGTAATCGGGCAGCTGCTCTAAGACGCTACTTGAACTGCCCGACCGCTTCAAACTACAGTGATTTTAAAATTTGGCGGGCAAAGGCTCGCGATCAATGACAATTCACAAAAGAAACAGCTGGAGAGAATATGTGTTCAAGATATCATCAAACACTTCCTCAAAAAATGGGACATGATTCGAAAAATAAGTGGAAAAAGGAAAAAGTCAACATCCTTCCACCTCATTAATAATTTTTTTTGGTCTAAGTCTAAAATTGCTGATGCATTTGCAAAAAACATAGCTAAAAACTCATCCAATTCCAGTCTTTAGAGAAAGAAAAAAAAAAGGAAACGGCTAAATTTCAAATCACAAAAAAAAAGGAAAGATAAAATGAACCATTCATCCAACCAGAACTTGTTGATTCGCTTAGAAAATCAAAGGACTCTGCTTTAGGTTCAGACAATATATCCCATATCAATTTCTCAAACAACTACCGGGCTCGTCACTACATATTATGTAACGCTACGTAATGTCACTACATAAGGAACTTCTTTACATATTCAACAAAGTTTACGCTTCCGGAAAGATTCCAGATTGTTGAAAGATCTCTACACTTATACCTATCCCGAAACTGGGAAAGAATGCTACTGACCCAAACAACAATCGTCCTATTTCTCTGACTAGTTGTGTATGTAAAACTTTAGAACGAATTATTAACACAAGGCTGGTTTGGTTTCTTGAGGCCAACTATATAATATCCATTCTTCAAAGTCGTTTAAGAAACAGAAGATGGACAAATGACCATCTCATCAGATTCGTGACATTCACACAAGGCTTTCACCAAGAAGGAACACCTTGTTGCTTTGTTCTTTGATCTTGAGAAGGCCTATGATACTGCATGGCAGTATTGCATCATGAAAGATCTCTCCCCCAAAAAACTCCCCAATTTCATATCTGATTACCTATCAGGTAGACACTTCAAAGTCCGTGTTGGTTCAAATTTGATACGTCTAAACAGGAAATTGTCCCACATGGTGGAATCCTAGCAGTCACTCTGTTTGGTCTTAAAATCAATGATATAGTCAAATGTCTTGGTCAGTCAACGGGTCGTTATTCCTGGATGACTTCTTGATCTGCTACAGATCTAAGAATATGCAAACGATAGAACGACAACTTCAATAGAGTTAAAACAAATTACAAATTTGGGCAGACGAAAACTGCTTCAAACTCTCTAAATCCAAAACTGTGTGCATGCATTTCTGTCAGAAACGAAAAGCACACAATGACCCAAATCTTACACTTGATGACATTAAAATTCCTGTTGAACAAACCAAATTTCTCGGTCTAATTTTTTATTCGAAAATCACTTTCATACCACATATAAAGTATCTGAACGAAAAGTGTTCCAAGGCGTTAAACATTATACGAGTCCTTTCTCATACTCGTTGGGGAGCGGGCCATAAAATGCATTTGCGCCTATACAGATCACTTATTTGAACAAAACTCGATTATGGTTCTATGGTATACGGGTCGGCGCGCAGTTCTTATCTGCAGATGCTAGACCAAATCAATAACAAAGAGCTACGTCAAGCCCTTGGAGCTTTTCGAACAACGCCTGTAAAAAGGCTTTACGTGGAAATGAATGAACCATTCCTTTATGACAGAAAGAAAAAACTTTCATTACAGTTTTAAGCTCAATCAAACTCAAACTCTAAAAATCCTGCTTTCAACCAAATATTCAACCCAAAATACCTAAACATATTTACGCAAAACCCAAAATACCAAAACATATTTACGCAAAACCCAAAACTTCTGCCAACATTTGGTATCCGAATTTCAAATTTCCTGCAAGAACTCAACATAAATTTGACTGACATTGCTGAATTTGATATATCTGATGTTCCTCCATGGACAATATAAACACCTGATTTTTAACTGTACAATCCATGAGCGATGGAACTCCAGTGTACTGACCGAAGAACACAAAGCCTCCTTTTGGGAATGCATTTTGAAGTACCCTTCTCATACACAACTTTACACCGATGGTTCTAAAGAAGGGGAGAAAGTGGCACAAACCCTGCTGTTCTGCTAATTCTTGCACTTCAAACCGAATACCAGACGGCGCCTCTATCTTTTCTGCCGAAGCATGGGCAATTGGTTTAGCCCTCGACCATATCGATAAACACCGCAGACGAGACCCTAAAACACACTTACAAAACCTTACTTTTCGCATATCTTGTATCTTAAAGAAATCTAAAATAACTTGACTATGGATTCCGAGCCATGTCGGAATTTTAGGCAACGAATTTGTTGACAGAGAAGCAGAAAATGCGTAAAATCTCCGACAAACAAATATCAAACTACCATATACACATTTTAAATCTATAATAGTATAGCCAATCAAGATGACTGGCAGCAACGCTGGTCTCTCGAGACCTATACAGATCACTTTTTTAAGTACAACCGAAACTTGAAACATGCGTTACGAGTCGGAAAGATCGCAGAGAGGAAGTATTTCTCTCTCGGCTCCGCTCTGGGCAGACTTATCCTACTCATTCCTACCTTATAAAACGAGAAGATCCACCTACATGCCACGCATGTGACACTCCATTATCAGTGGAACATTTTTTAATAGAATGTTCCGATTATAAACACATTCTTGATAATTACATCCGAGTCCGAGATATGAAAACTCTTTTCAGTTCCGTGGACTCGTGAGCATTATCTAACTATTTGAAAGACACCGGTCTATTCTATTCTTTTATCCCACCTTACCCTATATGACGTTATATTTATATATATAACACATATTTCATGTAATCTGTTTATTATCTCTTATATTATTTTAACCCTTTTATCATTTTTAATTATTTACACATCCAGTGAGAATGCTTTTAAAAATGTTCATTTTTATCTGATTTTAATTTTCGCTACTCACATGTTTGTTTGGAATAAATAAATAAATCACCATGGCCCTAAATGACCACATTTGTCGATGGGCCGTTAAACTCAAACCACCAAACAAACAAACAAGAACTATTGAAACTGTCCCAGCTAGGGGTAATCTTTGATAGTTCACTGGACATGGAGAAACAAGTGCACGCCATTGCCAAATCCTGTTACTACAAGATCAGGAACATCGGCTGTATCCGGCAGTTTATAACTACAGACGCATGCAAGATTTTGGTTCATTCACTTGCTACCTTTCGGTTGGATAAGGTAATGCCCTGCTCTGTGGTATATCTGACAAACTAACAGATCGTCTACAGAGGCTCCAGAACACTGCAGTACATCTGGCTACTAGTACTCGAAAGAAGTAAAACATTACACCTGCGCTATATTCATTGCACTGGTTACCTGTACGATACAGGTCACAGTACAAAATGTTGGTGTACACATATCAGCGTAGCAGCCGTCACGACCACTGCGGTCGGATACAGAATCATTGTTGTATGTCCCAAAATATCGTAATGTGACCTATGTGCTCTTTGCACAGACGTCATGTGCATACCACCCTTTATTTGTATTTATGTGCACATTGAGATGATTATCTTCTTGCTTTATGTATAATCCATATGTTGTAAAGCCCTTTTGAGTAATTTTACAAATTATATAGGGCGCTATATAAATGTTGTATTTTTTATTATAATTATCAAAACACATCGTTGCGCAGGCGGAACATTATTTTTGTATTGTCACAATATAAAGTTTAAATGAAGTCTTTCCCTGCTTATAAAGCCATATTTTATACATTCCTAGTAAACTTTATATCCTGAGGTAACGTTTTCCAGCAATTTACAAAATGCCTGATATGTAGCGTTTGACAGCCTTACAGCCTTAAAAAGGAGACCTTAACTCAAATTTCTGATATATTTTCTCGTTCAGTGCTATCAAACAAGAAAGATACATGCGTGTTATATCTTGAACCACACCAATGTAATATTCAAAATTTGGAGTTTGACTGATGTCACATGTTGATTAGAACATGCGTACCCATCCGTGGGAGCTGTTTTGTTTCTCTGAGTTGTACGGGTTATTTATTATATCACCTGTGATATATAACTTGCGTAACTGCATGTAGCAGCTGGTGTCGTTTATCCGTGTTGTACGGGGTTCTTGATGTCACCTTTGATTAACAGCATGCGTACCAATCTGCAGCAGCTGCTTTAGCTGTCCGTGTTGTATTGGTTTTGCTTTTATGTCACCTGTGGCTTAGAATACGAGAACCCATCTTTAGTAGCTGCTTCTGTTTTCCCGTGTTGTGCGTAGCTTTATGATGTCACGTGACATTAAGAATACGCGTATCCATCTGTAGCAGCTGCTTTTTTGTGTTGTATGGGTTCATGATGTCACATGTGGTTCAGAACACGCGTACCCATCTGTAGCAACTGTTTTTTGTTTCGTCTTGTTGTGTAGGGGTGTATGACAATTTCCGTATTACCTTACCTTATTGTTTTCGCACGATTACAGGTCAGGTAGGAATCACTCTAGACTGTGATTGGAAAGAAGCCAATCAGCACCGGTCGGCCGCGGACAGATACGCCGCGGAAAGAGCACTTCAGTTTAAATTGGGATGGTTCGCCAATCCAATCTTCGGAAATGGTGACTACCCATCTGTTATGAAACGTGTTGTGAAGGCAAAGAGCTTAGCTCAGGGGCTCGCCCAATCAAGACTACCAGAGTTTACTCCAGAAGAGATTGCACAAAACAAAAGTAAGCAGACGAGTTGAAAATTTAAAACTTTTCTGTTATGTCGCCATTAAAACCAGCAGTATCATAGTATTAATACTGGTCTACATGTATCAACAGAGTAATACAGGGCCTCGAAGTAGTTTTAGTGGTCTACATGTATCAACAGAGTAATACAGGGCCTCGAAGTAGTCTTAGTGGTCTACATATATCAACAGAGCAATCCAGGGCCTCAAGGTTGTCTTAGTGATCAACAAATATCAACAGGGTACTACAGGGCCTCAGGATAGTCTTAGTGGTCTACATGTATCAACAGAGTAATACAGGGCCTCACGGTAGTCTTTATGGTCTACATGTATCATCAGAGTATTACAGGGCCTCAATGTATTATTAGTGGTCTAAATGTAAAAGAAGAGTTATACAGTGCCTCAGAGTAATGTTAATGGTATATATGTATCAAAAGAGTAAAACAGGGCCTCACGGTAGTCTTAGTGGTCTTCATGTATCAACAGAGTAAATCAGGGCCTCACGGAAGTCTTAGTGATGAACAAATATCAACAGGGTACTACAAGCCCTCAGGATAGACTTAGTGGTCTATATGTATCAACAGAGTTATACAGGGCCTCAAGGTAGTATTACTGGTATTCATGTATCAACAGAGTAGAACAGGGCCTCTAGTTTGTCTTAGTGATCAACAAATATAAAAAGGGTACTACAGGGGCTCAGGATAGTCTTAGTGGCCTATATGTATCAACAGAGTTATACAGTGCCTCAAGGTAGTATTACTGGTATTCATGTATCAACAGATTAGAACAGGGCCTCTAGGCAGTCCTAATGGTCTACATGTATCATCAGAGGATTACAGGGCCTCAATGTATTATTAGTGGTCTAAATGTAAAAGAAGAGTTATACAGTGCCTCAAGGTAGTATTAGTGGTATTCATGTATCAACAGATTAGAACAGGACCTCTAGGTAGTCCTAATGGTCTACATGTATCAACAGAGTAACACAGGGCCTCAAGGTAGTCTTAGTGGTCTACATGTATCAACAGAGTAAAGCAGGGCCTCACGGAAGTCTTAGTGATCAACAAATATCAACAGGGTACTACAGGGCCTCAGGATAGTCTTAGTGGTCTATATGTATCAACAGAGTTATACAGGGCCTCAAGGTAGTATTAGTGGTATTCATGTATCAACAGATTAGAACACGGCCTCTAGGTAGTCCTAATGGTCTACATATATCAACAGAGCAATCCAGGGTCTCAAGGTAGTCTTAGTGGTCTACATGCATCAACAGAGTAATACAGGGCCTCGAAGTAGTCTTAGTGGTCTACATGCATCAACAGAGTAATACAGGGCCTCACTGTAGTCATTATGGTCTACATGTATCATCAGAGTATTACAGGGCCTCAATGTATTATTGGTGGTCTAAATGTAAAAGAAGAGTTATTTAGGGTCTCAGAGTAATGTTAATGGTATATATGTATCAAAAGAGTAATACAGGGCCTCACTGTAGTCATTATGGTCTACATGTATCAACAGAATAATACAGGGCCTCAAAGTGGTCTTAGTGATCAACACATATCAACAGGGTACTACAGGGCCTCAGGATAGTCTTAGTGGTCTACATGTATCAAAAGAGTAAAACAGGGCCTCACGGTAGTCTTAGTGGTCTACATGTATCAACAGATTAGAACAGGGCCTCTAGGTAGTCCTAATGGTCTACATGTCTCAACAGAGTAATACAGGGCCTCGAAGTAGTCTTAGTGGTCTACATGTATCAACAGAGTAATACAGGGCCTCACGGTAGTCATTATGGTCTACATGTATCATCAGAGTATTACAGGGCCTCAATGTATTATTGGTGGTCTAAATGTAAAAGAAGAGTTATATAGTGCCTCAGAGTAATGTTAATGGTATATATGTATCAAAAGAGTAATATATGGCATCAAGGTAGTATTAGTGGTATTCATGTATCAACAGATTAGAACAGGGCCTCTAGGTAGTCCTAATGGTCTACATGTATCAACAGAGTAATACAGGGCCTCAAAGTAGTCTTAGTGGTCTACATATATCAACAGAGCAATCCAGGGCCTCAAGGTTGTCTTAGTGATCAACAAATATCAACAGGGTACTACAGGGCCTCAGGATAGTCTTAGTGGTCTACATGTATCAACAGAGTAATACAGGGCCTCAAAGTAGTCTTAGTGGTCTACATGTATCAACAGAGCAATCCAGGGCCTCAAGGTAGTCTTAGTGGTCTGCATGTATCAATAGAGTAATACAGGGTCTCAAGGTAGTCTTAGTGGTCTACATGTATCAACAGAGCAATCCAGGGTCTCAAGGTAGTCTTAGTGGTCTGCATGTATCAATAGAGTAATACAGGGTCTCAAGGTAGTCTTAGTGGTCTACATGTATCAACAGAGCAATCCAGGGTCTCAAGGTAGTCTTAGTGGTCTGCATGTATCAATAGAGTAATACAGGGTCTCAAGGTAGTCTTAGTGGTCTACATGTATCAACAGAGCAATCCAGGGTCTCAAGGTAGTCTTAGTGGTCTGCATGTATCAATAGAGTAATACAGGGTCTCAAGGTAGTCTTAGTGGTCTGCATGTATCAATAGAGTAAAACAGGGCCTCGAAGTAGTATACGTGGTCTACATGTATCAACATGGTACTACAGGGCCTCAAGGTAGGTAGTGGTCTACGTGTATCAACAGAGTAATACAGGGCCTCAACGTAGTCTAAACAGCCTGTCAACAGACACCAACATTACAACGCCATAAAGGTTAAAAAGTTAATGTTTTTTGTATCAAGAGTGACACAATATTCCTCTTCAATATATTTAATAATCATGTTTGTTTCTGTTTACAGAATCCGCGGATTTCCTCGGCTTAAACCATTATACGTCTAACCTTGTGTCTCAACTTGACCAACCGATTCAGGATCAAAGCTATGAAAATGACCAAGATGTCGACATCACTTACGACAACTGCTGGAACAGGTTTTAGTTCAAACATGCACAAAGAAATGTTCAAACACATATGAACAAATCGGCAGTTATGATTAGTTAGCTATTACATGCATATTGGTCAGACAGACAACTACCCTATTGCCAATCTCCTGGGGAAAAAAGCTTCCTCTGGATTATCATTCTGGACAATCGATACTTTTTTATGTTCATGAAATGTTCATGTCTTCAAAACTAAGGGCATTGTTTATATCCATGTTCATGAGAAATTCGTAGCAGATATCTATGGTCAAGGACGATCCCTGTTTGATATGAATATTGTAGGGAATAGGTTGTATTCTCGTCATTATAAAAGCTTATGCTTCGTTTATCAATTTTTCATTCAACACTGTCTGTTACTAATAATGAATCCTTAACGAGGTATAATGAATGCATAATTTAAAACCTGTGGCTAGTTATAAGTCATCGTTAGGCTAGGCTGAACACACATGTTATGCAGAAATAAGAGACGCTTTGAGCAGTATTATATTGTATGACAAATATAATCTAATGTCGCTGTTTTGGTGGATTGCAGGTCAGAGTCGTCATGGTTACGTGTTAATCCCTGGGGACTTAGGAAACTTCTGAAGTGGATCCACGATAGATATGATAATCCCGTGATCTACGTCACAGAAAACGGAGTTTCCGACAAAGGCCAGCTGAATGATGAGACACGTATACGTTACTACAGAGGTTACATTAACGAGATGTTGAAAGGTGAGGCAACGTGGTACACAAAGTACACAAAGAACCTAAAAACAACTTACATGTACAACGAAATACACGAAGACCTATCAGCAAATTACGCGTATAATGTTTTACACGAAAACATTAAAACACGTACAATGTGGTACACAAAACGTCAAAACAACTTACACATACAATATAGTACAAAAAAAAATAAAAAAAATTGCATGTACTACGAAGAATACAAAAACCAATTACAACTTACGCGTAAAATGCAGTACACAAAATCGTGAAAACAACTTACACACACAATGTAGTACACAAAAACGTAAAAAACACCTTACACAAAAAATGTAGAACACAAAAACATCTAAACAACTTACACGTACAACATAGTACAAAAAAACGTAAAAACTTACATGTACAACGAAAAAACCCTATTACAATTTAAACGTAAAATGAATGAAACAAAAGTGTGGAAACAACTAACATGAACAATATAGCATGCAAACGTTAAAACAACTTAAACGTACAATGTAGTACACAAACACGTTAAAACAATTTACACGTACAATGTACAAACACGGAAAGAGACCTTACATATACATATTAATTAACTATTTGTGTATGCTATGAAGGTCTATGTTTCTTATCACGCTCATAAATATGCTTTGTGGTTTTGTTGTCACTACGGCAGTTCAGGCTATCAGGACGTGACTTTCCTTAGATTTTACCTATGTTTATATGGTGGTTCTCGCTATCAGGACTTGACTTTACTTGGAGATTACCTATGTGTATATAGTGGTTCTCGCTATCATGACGTGATATAACTTAGATTTTACCTATGTTTATATAGTGGTTCTCGCTATCAGGACGTGACTTTCCTTAGATTTTACTTATGTGTATATAGTGGTTCTCACTATCATGACGTGATATAACTTAGATTTTACCTATGTGTATATAGTGGTTCTCGCTATCATGACGTGATATAACTTAGGTTTTACCTATGTTTATATGGTGGTTCTTGCTACCAGGGCGTGACTTTCCTCAGATTTTACCTATGTTTATATGGTGGTTCTTGCTACCAGGGCGTGACTTTCCTCAGATTTTACCTATGTTTATATGGTGGTTCTCGCTATCAGGGCTTGACTTTACTTGGAGATTACCTATGTGTATATAGTGGTTCTCGCTATCATGACGTGATATAACTTAGATTTTACCTATGTTTATATGGTGGTTCTTGCTATCAGGGCGTGACTTTCCTCAGATTTTACCTATGTTTATATGGTGGTTCTCGCTATCAGGACTTGACTTTACTTGGAGATTACCTATGTGTATATAGTGGTTCTCGCTATCATGACGTGATATAACTTAGATTTTACCTATGTTTATATGGTGGTTCTTGCTATCAGGAAGAGACTTTCATTTAATTTTACCTTTGTTTCTATGGTGATTCCCGCTATCGGGGCGTGACTTTTCTTGTATTTTACCTATGTTTATATGGTGGCTCTTGCTATCAGGAAGAGACTTCCATTTAATTTTACCTTTGTTTCTATGGTGATTCCCGCTATCGGGGCGTGACTTTTCTTGTATTTTACCTATGTTTATATGGTGGTTTTCACTATCAGGGCGTGATATTACTTGGATTTTACATGTATCTATGTTTATATGGTGGTTCTTGCTATAAGGAAGAGACTTTCATTTAATTTTACTTTTGTTTCTATGGTGATTCACGCTATCGGGGCGTTACTTTTCTTGTATTTTACCTATGTTTATATGGTAGTTTTCGCTATCAGGGCGTGACTTTCCATAGATTTTACCTATGTTTATATGGTGGTTCTTGCTATCAGGAAGAGACTTTCATTTAATTTTACCTTTGTTTCTATGGTGATTCCCGCTATCGGGGCGTGACTTTTCTTGTATTTTACCTATGTTTATATGGTGGTTCTCACTATCAGGGCGTGATATTACTTAAATTTTACCTATGTTTCTTTGGTGGTTCTCGCTATCAGGACGTGACTTTCCTTAGATTTTACCTTTGTTTATATGGTGGTTCTCGCTATCAGGGCGTGACTTTCCTTAGATTTTACTTATGTTTATATAATGGTTCTTGCTATCAGGACACGACTTTCCTTAGATTATACCTATGGGTAAATGGTGATTCTCGCTATCAGGGCTTGACTTTCCTAAGATTTTATCTATGTTTATATGGTGGTCCTCGCTATCCTTGCGTGACTTTCCTTAGTTTTTTCCTATGTTTATATAGTGGTTTATTGCTATCAGGACGTGACTATGCTTAGATTATACCTATGTTTATATGGTAGTTCTCGCTATCAGGACTTGACTTTACTTGGAGATTACCTACGTGTATATAGTGGTTCTCGCTATCATGACGTGATATAACTTCGATTTTACTTATGTTTATATTGTGGTTCTCGCTATCAGAAGAGACTTTCCTTTGATTTTTCCTTTGTTTATATGGTGGTTCTCGCTATCGGGGCGTGACTTTTTTGTATTTTACCTATGTTTATATGGTAGTTCTCGCTATCAGGGCGTGACTTTCCTTAGATTTTACCTATGTTTATATGGTGGTTCTTGCTATCAGGGCGTGACTTAACTTGGATTTAACCTATGTTTATCTGGTGGTTCTCACTATCAGGGCGTGACTTTCCTTAGTTTTTTCCTATGTTTATATAGTGGTTTATTGCTATCAGGACGTGACTATGCTTAGATTATACCTATGTTTATATGGTAGTTCTCGCTATCAGGGTGTGACTTTCCTTAGAATTTAGCTATGTTTATATGGTGGTTCTCGCTATCGGGGCGTGCCTTTTCTTGTATTTTACCTATGTTTATATGGTAGTTCTCGTTATCAGGGCGTGACTTTCCTTAGATTTTACCTATGTTTATATGGTGGTTCTCGCTATCAGGGCGTGATATAACTTGGATTTTACCTATGTTTATATGGTGGTTCTCGCTATCATGGCGTAACTTTACTTGGATGTTACATGTATCTATGTTTATATGGTGGTTCTCGCTATCGGGGCGTGACTTTTCTTGTATTTTACCTATGTTTATATGGTAGTTCTCGTTATCAGGGCGTGACTTTCCTTAGATTTTACCTATGTTTATATGGTGGTTCTCGCTATCAGGGCGTGATATTACTTGGATTTTACCTATGTGTATATTGTGGTTCCCGCTATCAGGGCGTGACTTAACTTGGATTTTACATGTATCTATGTTTTTTGGTGGTTCTCGCTATCAGGACGTGACTTTCCTTAGATTTTACCTATGCTTATATGGTGGTTCTCGCTATCAGGGTGTGACTTTCCTTAGAATTTACCTATGTTTATATGGTGGTTCTCGCTATCGGGGCGTGACTTTTCTTGTATTTTACCTATGTTTATATGGTAGTTCTCGCTATCAGGGCGTGACTTTCCTTAGATTTTAGCTATGTTTATATGGCGGTTCTCGCTATCAATCAGGGCGTGACTTAACTTGGATTTTACATGTATCTATGTTTATATGATGGTTCTCGCTATCAGGGCGTGACTTAACATGGATTTTACATGTATCTATGTGTATATGGTGGTTCTCGCTATCAGGGCGTGACTTTCCTTATATTTTAGCTATGTTTATATGGTGGTTCTCGCTATCAGGGCTTGACTTAACTTGGATTTTACATGTATCTATGTTTATATGATGGTTCTCGCTATCAGGGCGTGACTTACCATGGATTTTACATGTATCTATGTGTATATGGTGGTTCTCGCTATCAGGGCGTGACTTAACTTGGATTTTACATGTATCTATGTTTATATGGTGGTTCTCGCTTTCAGGGCGTACATTTTCTTAGATTTTACCTATGTGTCTTAGGTGGTTCTCGCTATTAGGGCATGACTTTCCTTAGATTTTACCTATGCTTATATGGTGGTTCTCGCTATCAGGACACGACTTTCCGTAGATTTTACCTATGTTTCTTTGGTGGTTCTCGCTATCAGGGCGTAACTTTCCTTAGATTTTACCTATGTTTATATGGTGGTTTATCGCTATCAGGACACGACTTTCCGTAGATATTACCTATGTTTCTTTGGTGGTTCTCGCTATCAGGGCGTGACTTTCCTTAGATTTTACCTATGTTTATATAGTGGTTTATCGCTATCACGACGTGACTTTGCTTAGATTTTACCTATGTTTATATAGTGGTTTATCGCTATCAGGGCGTGACTTTCCTTAGATTTTACCTATGTTTACATAGTGGTTTATCGCTATCAGGGCGTGACTTAACTTGGATTTTACATGTATCTATGTTTATATGGTGGTTCTTGCTATCAGGACGCGACTTTCCTTAGATTTTATCTATGTTTATATGGTGGTTCTTGCTATCAGGACACGACTTTCCTTAAATGTTACCTATGTTTATATGGTGGTTCTCGCTATCAGGGCGTGACTATCCTTAGATTTTATCTATGTTTATATGATGGTTCTCCTGACTTTACCTGGATGTAACTTTACTTTAATTTTATCTATGTTTATATGGTGGTTCTCACTATCAGGGCGTGATATAACTTAGATTTTACCTATGTTTACATGGTGGTTCTCACTATCAGGGTGTGACATTATTTGGATTTTACTTATGTTTATATTGTCATTCACGCTATCGGGGCGTGACTTTTCTTGTATTTTACCTATGTTTATATGGTAGTTGTCGCTATCAGGGCGTGACTTTCCTTAGATTTTACCTATGTTTATATGGTGGGTCTCGCTATCAGGGCGTGACTTTCCTTAGATTTTACCTATGTTTATATAGTGGTTTATCGCTATCAGGACGTGACTTTGCTTAGATTTTACCTATGTGTAAATGGTGGTTCGCGCTATAACGTCGTGATATAACTTGGATTTTACCTATGTTTATATGGTGGTTCTCGCTATCAGGAAGAGACTCGCCTTGGATTTTACCATTGTGTATATGGTGGTTCTCGCTATCAGGACGTGACTTTCCTTAGATTTTACTTATGTTTATATGGTGGTTCTCGCTATCGGGGCGTGACTTTTCTTGGATTTTACCTATGTTTATATGCTAGTTCTCGCTATCAGGGCGGGACTTTCCTTAGATTTTTCCTATTTTTATATGGTGGTCCTTGCTATCCTCGCGTGACTTTTCTTAGATTTTACATATGTTTATATGGTGGTTCTTGCTATCAGGACACGACTTTCCTTAAATGTTACCTATGTTTATATGGTAGTTCTCGGGATCAGGGCGTGACTTTCCTTATATTTTAGCTATGTTTATATGGTGGTTTTCGCTATCAGGGCGTGATTTTACTTCGATTTTGCCTATGTGTATATGGTGGTTCTCGCTATCAGGGCGTGACTTTCCTTAGATTTTACCTATTTTTATATGGTGGTCCTTGCTATCCTTGCGTGACTTTTCTTAGATTTTACCTATGTTTATATGGTGGTTCTCGCTATCAGGGCATGACTTTCCTTAACTTTTACCTTTGTTTATATGATGGTTCTCCTGACTTTACCTGGATGTAACTTTACTTTAATTTTATCTATGTTGATATGGTGGTTCTCGCTATCAGAGCGTGAAAACCGAACAATTGTCTCCCTCAATCCGCTAACTCAATAGCACATTATACATTTGTATGAAAGGCTATAACTATCACCGACACATCTGGTATGGTTGACTTTTGTCGAGTATATCTCTGACTAGTCCTAGACTATTTCTGTGTTTCATATTTGTAATAAAAAAAAATTCTCCGACATTCATATCTTTCATCTATTGGAAAAATATTTCTTTGTTTGTAATATAAACAAAGCAAACCCTGTTTGTCATGAGATATTTCCAACAATAACTCTGGTGTAGTGGCGATGACGCTATTTGGGTACAACTTTGGCGTTTAACTAATAATATTTAAGATTTATGGCCGATTTTGGTTGTATCGAATCATTTTTCCTAATAACTTGACATTTAGCAATAATCCTGTTTATGATTACAAATTAGGAAAACATATCTTAATAGAATGCAGTAGGATTCCAAAAAAGCCATTTTGTCATCACATGCTTTGTTTGTTTGTCACAGCTGTCAGACTAGACGGCGTGGACGTACGAGGTTACATGGCCTGGTCACTCATGGACAACTTCGAGTGGACCAGTGGATACACACAGAAGTTCGGACTGTACCAAGTGGACTTCGACAGTCCACAGCGCGTCCGGTCCATGAAGTCCTCAGTGTCTGTGTACTCTGAAATTATACGAAACAACGGCTTCCCTGAGATTTAAAATTATATCGAGATTAAATCTGATACAGAATGAGTAAAAACGTTCTTTATTCTGTGTTGACCAATCACAGGTTCCTAGAACACGTTCATCCGTGATATAGTATATAATCTCATGTATCCATTATCATATCGAGTGTTTCGTGCATGTCGATAAGTGTACTTACATATAAGTAATGTATCTTTATTGTTTTCTCAACTTATTCTAATCAGAAGCTCACTTTTTACAAGTCACGTGACTTGTGTTAGGTGATTTCATGCGTGATATTTTTTGATAAAATAAATATTTTGCTTGGAAAAGCTGAATTTCTGTCTGTTGCATGTAATCATTTTGAGGTTGGGTTTTCTATCATTATTAAAAAAGTTATGGTTTGATAGTTAACACGTAGTGAAATTGCGATAATAAATTTCGATTTTGTTTGTTACATTGTGTCATTAAGTTTCGTTCATTTTGTATATTGGCGATTCCAGCGATAATACAATTATGTGAATTAAATATGGTGATTTTCGAACAAACATATTCAACATATTTGACTCTAGCAAAAAAATATTGAAAAAGAATAACATATAATAGATATCCCACGGTCTTACAGGCCAACCTCAGTGTTATTCCGCGGGGACTGGTAGTCTCCCCTCACTATCATTCCGCGGGGTCTGGTAGTCTCCCCTCACTATCATTCCGCGGCGACTGGTAGTCTCCCCTCACTATCATTCCGCGGCGACTGGTAGTCTCCCCTCACTATCATTCCGCGGCGACTGGTAGTCTCCCCTCACTATCATTCCGCGGCGACTGGTAGTCTCCCCTCACTATCATTCCGCGGCGACTGGTAGTCTCCCCTCACTATCATTCCGCGGGGACTGGTAGTCTCCCCTCACTATCATTCCGCGGACTGAGAATCCACCTGCATGGTTAACCACCTTGTCACGAAAACAAAATCACTTGGAAAATTATTATTTCAGAAAAGATTACATTACTGAAATAAACTTGAACTCAAACTTACTTTTTAAATCACGTATTGTCAGTGGACATGAATGACAGCTTCTCAGAAATCGATTGCCATATGACATAGTCTCCTACGGCAAAGACAATAAATTCACTGCTTTGAACTGTTCTATGAGATGTGATGAAGACCTTTACACTCATTTCTCAAGGCGATTCGGGACAACAACGTTTTTTTTTATGAAACGATATAACCTCATGTATCCATTCTTTTATCGGGTGTTTCGTGCATGTCGATAAGTGTACGTACTTATCAGAAAAGCATCGTTATTGTTTTCTGAACTTATTCTAATCAGAAGCTCACTTTTTACAAGTCACGTGACTTGTGTTAGCTGATTTCAAGCGCGATATCTTCTGATAAAATTAACATTTTGCATATTGACTAAACGCACTTGGAAAAGCTGATTTTCTGTCTGTTGCATGTACTTATTTTGAGTAAGGGTTTTCTATAATTGTCACGAAGAACTTTAGTCATGGTGTCTGGTCATGCATAAAGTCAACAAAGATACTGAGTTCACGGTATAATTTAGAAATTAAACAGCCCTGTACTATTGTACTGACACACGACAGTTCTCTCCACTGTATCCCTACTAGAACTGCTCACTTCATAATATTCATGTACACCTCGGTGGGTTAACTCACTGTTAAATACAGTATAATTATATTACAATTTAAAATATATACTCAGTATTACCTAAACTGATATATACATATATACATATTACTTCCATAAAAAAGTTTATAATAGACACCGGACTATTACACACCAACTGTGGTACACACAAAACTTCACTATGTCCACCCGCCACATCACTTCCGGTACCCTGTGATCTCGATAGGATTCGACCACAAAACCGAATCCTGCACGTGACCTGCACCCGACGGCACTAACTCTGCAACATGACCACCATGCCACATATCTGGGCGGCAACTAAACTATAGGCATCAACACTGCATGCCCTTATATATATACTGTATAGTAGACGTCAAACCCTGCCATCACCGACTGCTGAGTACTAGGCCGTTTACAAAAATCCCTGCAACAACAAAATATTCACCTTTTATCGACTACTGCATGGGCGGCCATTTTACATACGAAGTATAACAACCATGTGCTTTATAAAGGTTTCAAAATAACAAACCTATAAACCCTTTACTCAAAATTCACAACTCTAAAAAAGAAGAAACACATCAGCTTACCTGCATGTACAGCTATGTAATGTTTAAAAACCCGCCCCGGGACCAACAACGAGTCCGGTGTCCAGACACCCCTCCACCACTGCCAATACCTGCAGCCGGCACCCCAATGTGCTGAACTCACCCTCGCTTTCAGCTTTTGAAAACGACAAGTTTTCCTTCCTAACACAAGAGCTCCACAAGGGACTTAACTCTAGCAAAGTACAGATACTAAATTTTAAGGTGTCACGCCACTAACAACTACATCGCAATCATTATGAAGAAGTGATGGTTTGATATTAAGTTTCGTTTTGTTTGTAACATTGTGTCAAGCAGTTTTGTTTATTTTGTATATTGGCGATTCCAGCGACAATAAAATTATGTAAATTAAGTTAGTTGAATATTGGAACGGACATATTCAACATATGGAATTATGGCAAAAAAAATATATTAAAATAAATAACAAAGGTCACAACATCAGAATTGTTTTTCTTCTGGCAATTTGGAATACTGGTCTTTATTCTGTCCCTCAATATATTAATATGGGGCTGTCAGTCCACCCTATGGGTCAACCCGCGGACTGACAGTCCAACCTCATTATCAACCAGCGGACAGACAGTCAAACCACAGGTTCCACCCACGGACAGACAGTCCATCTCAAGGGTCAACCAGCGGACTTACAGTCCACCCCAGCGGCAACTCGTTGACGGACAGTCTACAACAAAGGTCAACTCGTGGACTGCCAGTCCATCCTCATGTTAATCCAGCGGACAGACAGTCAATACTGAGGGTAATACAGCGGACAGACAGTCCAACCTCAGGGTTAACCCACGGACTGGTTGTCCACCATAAAAAACAACCGCGGACTGACAATCCACCATCAGGGTCAACCTCGGACTGACAGTCGAACCTTAAGGGTTAACCAACGGACTGACGCTCTATCCTCAGGGTTAACCTAAGGACTGGTAGTTCACCCTGAGGGATATCATACGGACTTACAGGCACTATGGTCCCCTACCACACACAGTAAGCGGCTATATAGAGAGTTGGAGAGACCTTCACACACACAGTAAGCGGCTGTAGACTGTTAGAAAGGCCTTTCCTGTGGTCCTCTAACATAAACAGAAAGAGTCTATAGAGAGCGTTAGAGAGGCCTTTCCTGTGGTCCTCTAACATAAACAGAAAGAGTCTATAGAGAGTGTTAGAGAGGCTTTCCCTATGGGCCCCTAACACAAACAGTAAGCGGCTGTAGAGTGTTAGAGAGGCCTTCCCTCTGGCCTTCTAACACAAACAGAAAGCGGCTGTAGAAAGAGTTAGAGAGACCTTCCCTATGGTCCCCTAACACAAACAGTAAGCGGCTGTAGAGTGTTAGAGAGGCCTTACCTATGGCCATCTAACACAAACAGAAAACGGCTGTAGAAAGAGTCAGAAAAACCTTCCCTATGGTCCCTAACACACATAGTAAGCGGCTGTAGAGAGAGTTAGAAAGGCCATTCCTATGAACCCCTAACACAAACAGTAAGCGGCTGTAGACTGTTAGAAAGGCCTTCCCTATGGTCCTCTAACACATACAGAAAGAGTCTATAGAGAGAGTTAAGAGAGAACTTCCCTATGGTTCCATAACACAAACAGTAAACGACTGTAGAGAGTTAGAGAGACCCTCCCTATGGTCCCCTAACACATACAGCAAGCGGCTGTAGAGAGAGTTAGAGAGACCTTCCCTATGGTCCCCTAACACACACAGTAAGCGGCTGTAGAGAGAGTTAGAGTGACCTTCCTTATGGTCCCCTAACACACACAGTAAGTGGCTGTAGAGAGAGTTAGAGATACTTTCCCTATGGTTCCCTAACACAAACAGTAAGCGACTGTAGAGAGAGTTAGAGAGACCTTCCATATGGTCCTCTAATACAAACAGTAAGCGGCTATAAGGAGAGTTCGAGAGACTTTCCCTATGGTCACCTAACAATGGTGATACACAGCCGCTTAACAGTGTTAACAGAGTTAACACAAACAGTAAGCGGCTGTAGAGAGAGTTAGAGATACCTTCACTATGGCCCCCTACCACACAAAGTAAGCGGCTATATAGAGATTTAGAAAGGCCATTCCTATGAACCCCTAACACAAACAGTAAGCGGCTGTAGACTGGTAGAGAGGCCTTCCCTATGGTCCTCTAACACACACAGAAAGAGTCTATAGAGAGAGTTAAGAGAGACCTTCCCTATGGTTCCATAACACAAACAGTAAACGACTGTAGAGAGGTAGAGAGACCCTCCCTATGGTCCCCTAACATACACAGTAAGCGGCTGTAGAGAGAGTTAGAGATACCTTCCCTATGGTCCCCTAACAAAAACAGTAAGCGGCTATAT